CAACCACGTGACCGCGCATCGACTATTCGCCTTCGGAACGAGTATATCCTAGACTTAAGTCGCTCATAAAACATATGGAAGTTTGAGGTTTATGCATGTAAAAAAAAACAGTTACGGACCGATCTGAATTGCAGATTGAGAAAACAACACAAATACTGAAATTTGCTTCCTGCCTCCTCTACTGTATCTAACCCACTGCAGTTTATTCTGTATGTGGACATTYATGTAACATAATAAAAAAAATCGGCGAACATAAGGTTTAGCATCTAACTGACTTTAAATATTTAAAATAATTCTGTTTAATGCCCTTTTTTTCAGTCCTTCCGAGCACAACAACATTAAAAGCCAGCACCATCCTCAGCAACAAACCTCCCATCCAGCCCCGACCGGTGTGCGTCGCCACCCTCCCAGTCCCCCAGAACCCCACACCTGCCAAGACCCTCATACTGCAGAGCCTCCCCTCCATGGACCAGACCAGACCTGGTAGGGAGTTTATTTATTTATTTATTTATTTATTTATTTATTTATTTATTTATAAATGAAACTGTGAAGCCTCTGCTTTTCCTCCCCCAGTCGTCCTCTCTCCGTCCGTCTGCCTCAGTTCGGCTCCTGCTATCGTCAAAATGGAGCCCGTCTCTCCCAGCATCCCCCAGCACTGCTCCAGCCCAACCTCCTCCTCCTCCTCCTCCTCCAGCAGCAAACCCATCGTCCCCGCGACCACGCCGTTACCGGGAAACAACTCCAGCGACATCGATGTGAGTAGGCCGGATGCAGTGACTCACAAGGTTTATTTTACCGAATGAAGTCTGACAATTTCAGATTGAAACCAACGTATCAAAACTTAAATCCTCCCGTCCTCCACCTCCTTTTAGATGAAGGTGCTGAAGAGGCAGCAGAGGATGATAAAGAACAGAGAGTCGGCCTGCCAGTCCAGAAAGAAAAAGAAGGAGTATCTGCAGAACCTGGAGGCCCAGCTGAGGGAGGCCCAGCAGGAGAACGAGCGGCTCCGGAGGGAGAACCAGGCACTGAGGGAGAGACTGGCTGGGAAAGAGGTGAGGGACCGGAAGAGAGGATGACTTTGTTTGGAACATTTGCTTCACATAGGTGACGGAATAAAGGAAACAAAAAAGGCACAAAAAACATTTGATTTTTATGTTGTTTCATTTTGTAGATTAGTTTTTATCACACATGGTCCTGGAAAACAACTGTCACAGCTTTTAGACCTTTGTAGGATTGAATAAAAACAGTGCTCATCCTTTCAATGTCTCAAACTTAGTAATTATTTTAAAAAAATGCTGCAATTTGTTGAAAATTTCCTCCCATAAACATGCACTTTACCTGACTGATGAGTGTAACTGATGGAAGAAAAGARAGCCCAGTTTACTAAACTGTGAAAGTGGCGAAACAGGATCTGAAAACTGTTCAGTGCAAAACAAACGACAAAGAAAAATCGGATTAAACTTGTCAAACTTGTTATTAAACAGTTGTAAAATGTAGCAAGTTAGTGTCCTTTACCTGATGCCATGTTAAAACAGCAACATGCACATGTGTTTACACAATAAGAGGTATTTATTGTGTAAAAAATGCAGTAAATGGGAAATATTCCTAAAGCGCAGTTTTCTTCTGTTTGTTTCAGAGCAGCGAYTCTGTGAGCAACAAGAGAGCCGTGTGCGTCATGGCCGTGCTGCTGTTCATGACCTTCAGCTTCGGACCTGTCAGGTACCTGCCACCGGTCCAGACTCACTTTCTGTCTGTAAAGATTTTTTTATTGTGGTAACCTTTCTCTCTTAAGATTATTTAAGTTTCAGTGTGAAGTTTAGTTCTTTTTAAATTCTTAAACACTTCAGAGA